CGCTTTATACAAACAGAAACGCAATTTATACACTTCTGTGTATAAAGCGAGAGGCGAGCACAGAGAGAGTGAGCGAGAGAGGAGAGTGGCGAGCGAGAGTTTGAGGGAGAGAGGCGCTGACAAACAGTTTGCTACAGGACACAATTAAATCAAAGTGTGATTATACCATTTAATTTGAATTAATAGTTTGCCATTATGTACAATTTTCTCTTTTTTTTATAATGAGCAAATTAAAAAATAACATGTGGCACCGGGCCCCCAAAATTATTTTAAAAAATAATTTTTTATTTAAAATTATTTCAAACACATTTTATATCTAATTTTTTAAAAAATAAAAAAAATAAATAAAAATGTCAGCCTATTCTACCCAACCTCCTTTTATCTTCATCTTCTTTTCAAATCACATTCTTTTTCAAATTACAAAACATAATTTCTTTTCAAATAACTTGAAAGATTAACTTTTTAAAAAATATATATTTTCATACTAAGATTGAAGAAGAAGGAAAATTTTGCCGCGGTTATTTATCTCTACATTGATCACAAAAAGAAATTGATAGCTCAAAAATTAATTCTTACGAATTTTCAAATATCATTTTTAATAAATTTAATGGCTTTATATTTGAATTTGAGTAAACATATTTGTTCGAAAATTGTGATAATAAATATTGGCTAACTTCTTTTATACGTAAAAATCATTTATCTTCTTTCTTCTTCATATTTATTCCATTATTTTTATGAGATTTGAAATAAATTGTACGAAAGAAAGTCTTTCTTTCAAATCTGAATTGTATGATTTCTTCCTAGTTGATTTTCATTTATTTTCAGATTTGGAAGAAATTATATTCTTTTTTTTATAAAAAGAAAGAAAAACAATGTTGGAACTAAAATGGAGAAAGTCTTGCAAATTAAATTATGAAGAATATGACTGGTAGGGGGTGGGGTGCTTTTCTTTTTTGAAAAAACGCGTAAATGAAAGAAGAAAAAAAATTATTTTAAGTTAATTATAGTGTCAATAAAAAAAAAAGAAAAAATGTAAAAAAAAAACACTATTACGAATCTTTTCACGCGCTTCAGTGAAGTGCAAAACACATTTTTTGTCATATCAGTGTTTTGTGTTTAGTAGTTACATGTTTTGAACAATTTAAATATTCAATAGGTACAAGTCTTAATTAAGGTATCTAAATGAATTATGCGAACAACTTTAAGGGACTATCAATAACTTTTAAGTCATTTAAAAATCTTTTATCAGTTCAAACTTTTAGAAATTTGTAGTTTAAGCTATATGAGAAATTTATGAAGTCAGAACTTCATATTGAAGAAGCCTTTTGCTGTGTCAAACCAATTCATGCGAACACAGGTATGTGTGCACCATCAACGATTAATGCACGTTAGTTAAAGTATGTACTTAATATCAATTTATATGATAATTTTTTAAATATAAAATTAATGTGTTAATATATAAATATAAATTAAATAACTCTATTAGATAAAATTTGCTTGGATTGAAATTTTAAAATATGTTTGCAATAGTTTTTGGAAACATAAATTTTCATTTTCATTTTGAAAAACATCAAACATAATTTATATCCATAAGTTTGAAAAATTATATTAAAAAAATAATATAAGTTTGATATGAATTTATCATTTTTATAACATGATATTCCAATAAATATTGTTAATAAATAATAACATAATTACTAGTTACTACAATTCGTTAAAAGACAAATAATAACATCAATGGTAACTAATTACTATTCTTTTATACAATATTTCCACATTTAAAACAATTTCTTCAGGACAAATATACATTTTTTCAGATCAGACAACTCAAAAGATAGATGGGAATTAATTGGAGTCATAAATAAATAAAATTATTTTATATAAAATATTAAATTTTGGAATAACTTTTAAACTTAAAAAATGATATTTTGACCCAAAGATTTTGAAATCTGATTTTAAAAAATTAAACAAATTCGATACTACTGTACTATTTACCAAATTTTTTTCTCAAAAATGAATATCCATCAGCAGACATCAAATTATCCAGATTTCTTTGCCTTCATGAGTGGAGCGATTCTGAAGAAGCAAATATTTGATAAATGGCCAATTCAAGTTGGATCTTGTTTTTGCTGATGCACCTTTCCCCTCTCAAGGCAAATCTGATGTCGACGCCCTCCTTATTATGAATGGTACTAGTTAGTTCAATAAGGTTGCACATCTAATTACTTTTTAACAAGAAAATTATAATGTTCTTTATTTTATTTTATAATTGTTGTTGTTTTGAAATACAGGAATTAAAACAATATGATAATTTTGATAAATGTCTTGCATACATACAAGACTGTATGATTAAGCATGGACCTTTCGACGGTCTTCTTGGTTTCTCCCAGGTATTTTTTTCTCCTTATTATCTTGATTGGATATAAATTTGGTACAATGATATTGATTTTGTTTGATATAATTTTTTATATCAGTCATTTGTGTAACAATAAGGTATATATGAGTCGCAATAAGTTTTGTAGCACGGACAAAATTGAGGGCTTTCCCCTTTCAAATTTGTAATTTTGTAGGAAGTTTGCACAATATGATTCTGAATATTATCTGCCTTTTGATACAATTCAGGGGGCACTAATTTCTGCAGGGTTGCAGGATACCATTGAAGCAATCCACCCTTGTTACTTCTGATGCTTATTTTGGTGTGTTAATTGACAGGGAGTGGGACTTCGAAGGTTCCCAAAATAAAATATCTGATAATAATTGGAGGTGCAAAATTGCAGATTAAACCACTGGGCAATTACATGCCCTTCCATTCACTTCTCTCCTTACAAATTATCAAACACTTTGTGTATATGTTTCAGGGCTAACTTCGTTACGAACAAATATTCTATATTTTAAAATCAAACACTTGCGAGTTGCGACCTCTGTATTATTCACCGGCTATTATAGGTGAGCGAGACTTTCTAAAGACGCATGGGATGGAACTTTTGGAATCTTAACAATTTTATTAATTCAACAACTTCTCGGACTCTTCTAATTTGTGTGTCCGACACAGGTGCAGCGGCAATCCGGGCATTGGCAACTTAGATTTTCTGTGTAGCCCTTGTTGTTTAACAAAAATGACAAATACCATCCTCTTTTGTTTTTCTCCTTCAGATGAGAAAGGATTAGAGAGCATGCTTATTGCTTAGTTTCATTGAGAAGGTGCAAGCAGAGATTAGTACAAGTTTGATAAAATTATGTTTTTTCATGCCAGTTCCTCATTCTGGAAATAATTCTTAAAAGTTAAATCGCTCCTAATAATTATCTATGACATTCAAGGGGGGTGTTATAAATTCATTGAATTAGTGGATTGTCTATATTCTCAGTAGATAAACTACTTGCATTCATGTATGTATATTCTCTAGGTTTTATGACGCTTAACATAGTGATTTTTCAACCTATAAGTAGGATTGTTCTGTCACTATTCCATGAGACACTTGAACACATTTGAATAAACGATCTCCACATTATACTCTCCTTATTGTTTATATTTCTAGTAGTATATTGCTTATATTTTACAACATGATCATAGTTTTCACTTTTTTTATAAAAAAAATAAAATGAAACATGACTTGACTCATAAGGTTTAAAAACTATAAAAGAAAATATTCATAAATTTGGTACAAAATATAATGAACTAGATAATACATCATCCTAATATCATGACATGATATTTAATAAAAAAAATTACTAAGGACATAATTACTAGCTACTCTAATTCGTTAAATTGCAATTAGTTACAAACATCCATCCGTGTAAAAAGACAAATATAACTACTATTCTTTAATACTCCATATAATATTTTGAACTTGAAAAAGAAATCAATATTATATTTTGCCCCAGTTTTTGAAATCTATTTTCAGAAAACTAGACATATTGTATGAGTAAGCAGATACTGTACTATTTACCCAAAATTTTCTCAAAAAGTAGCTCCAAAATGTATGGCCAAACAATGAAGAATATCCATCAGCAGACAAATTCAGCCGCCACCATGGCAGGTGAAGGAGCTGCCAACGCCAATCAGAGGAAATTGCCCAGATTTCTTTGCCTTCATGGGTTTCGAACGAGTGGAGCAATTCTGAAGAAGCAAATATTTGATAAATGGCCAATTCAAGTTGTGAACAAATTGGATCTAGTTTTTGTTGATGCGCCATTTCCATCTCAAGGCAAATCTGAAGTTGAAGGCATCTTTGACCCTCCTTATTATGAATGGTACCAGTTCAATAAGGTTGCGTTGCGTTGCACGCCTAATTAATTCTTACTAATTTTCAAATAAAAGAAAAAAAAAATTATTTTTATTTTATTTTATAACTGTTGTTGTTTTGAAATACAGGAATTGAAAGAGTATGAGAATTTTGATAAGTGTCTTGAATATATACAAGAGTGTATGATTAAGCATGGACCTTTCGATGGTCTTCTTGGTTTCTCCCAGGTATGATTTAATTTTTTTTTTTTTAAATTCCCTATTATCTTAGTTGGGTGTTTGGTTATAAATTTGAAAAAAATTTGATATTGATGTAATTTTTTATTTTCTCTTACTTTTCTTCTTGATTCTGAATAACTTTGAGTTGACTCTTTTAAGTACTTTTCTTTTTCTTTGTTCACATTTCAAATTTGTAATCTTTATAGGAAAATTGCACAATCTGATACTGAGTATTCTCTGTTTTTATTATACAATTCAGGGGGCAATTCTTTCTGGAGCATTGCCTGGATTGCAGGATAAGGTAAACACTAGCCCCTTCTTAAAAGCTCCTAGCCATTTTACTTGTTTGACGACTCGAACCCACAATCTCATTGAAAGCAGAGGATATTTATCCTCTTTTCACTTATCCATGGTTATTTTGGCGTGATAATGGCAGGGAGTGGGACTTACAAAGGTTCCCAAAATAAAATATCTGATAATAATTGGAGGTGCGAAAATGCAGATTACATCACTGGCCGAAAAAGCTTATTCACCAGCAATTACATGCCCTTCTGTTCACTTCTTAGGTACTTTCTATCCCTACAAATTATCAAAGACTTTGTATATATGTTTAAGGGTTAACTACACTAAACACCGTGTACTATTAACTTCGTTACGAACAACTACTTTATTTTAAAACTAAACACTTACAACCTTTGTATTATGAAAAACTCTACACTTATATTCACTGGATATTATAGGTGAGAAAGACTTCCTAAAGCCGTCTGGGATGAAACTTTTGGAATCATATGTTGATCCAGTGGTCATTCATCATCCTAAGGGCCACAGTATACCAAGATTTGGTAAACCTCTTAACATTTTTATTAATTCAATTCTGTTGTGTTGCTCGGACTCTTCAAAATTGTTGAATCCTTCAAAAGTAGCCCTTGTTGTTTAACAACAATGACAAATACCATATTTTTCTTTTCCAGATGAGAAAGGATTAGAGAGCATGCTTAGTTTCATTGAGAAGGTGCAAGCAGAGATTAGCACAAGTGAACAAGTTTGATGAAATTATGTTTTTATGTGGTAGCTCCTCGTTTGGGAAGTATGTTTATATTTAATTTTTTAAAAAATAATATGGCTTTGAATAATTAATTTGTTTTACTCTCTAGGAAAGAAAAACTCTAGACCTTATTAGAAAAGTTGCAGAACTATGGCCTTGCTATTGTATTTACGGCAGTATGCCATTCGATTATTTCACTACATCCTTCGATTTGTTTCTCTTGGCTTTAAATTCAATGTGCAAATATTGGCAATACATCAAATTGACCAATTGGTACCTTCTTTACATGTAACATATTCATAATTGGATCCATATTTTTTGTCTTTTAAAAAAGTTTATAACGCTTCCTACCTAGTTGTGTTTTAATTGGAAAAGAGAAGGTCATATTTTAAAGAAGTCTCACCTCGGAAAAGGCAAGGGCAATTGTTCTTCTTATATGAATTTGCTTAATCTTTTCTTCATAAGTTAGTTTTTGGGTTTAGTTAAGCTCAAAATCTATTTTTATATAGCATCAGAGTCAAGATTCAGCCCCCATATTATATTATCCATGCTCCAAATATTTTGTTTGAGTACCTGATAATTTTTTTTTTATAGTATGACTATATATATAACATACAAAATAAAAAAATATTAAGACAGTTTATTATGAATCAATTTTGAACCGCACATAAATTTTGTTTTATAACCGTCTGAATTAAGATATCAAAATAGCCCGAGTTAATAAAATTAGCAGGTCATTAGCTCATCTAAATATTAGTAGTACTATAAATTGGACGAGGACTCAATTGCCACTTCTAGTGTTGTACAAGTACTCTATTGCAATTAAGTCAAAATTATATTTATATAAATAAGAGACGTAAGAACTAAGAAGAGAAAGCAGCAGAATTGCCACTTTTGGCCACCGCAAACCCGTTTACAGTGTGAGGTGCAAATGCAATGGGCTCCGATGCTGCTGACTCAAGGTACTTCCTAATTTCCTTTGTTTTAATGGCATTCCTATTTTACACTTTCACTAATGTAATTATATAATAGCAATGCCCAAAAGTGTTAGCAACTTAGGTGAATTGAACAAATAGGGAGTTGTGCTGGTCCTGTGTATATCTATGTGTTTATTTTTGCAGTGGTAGGGAATGGGAGGAATAATTTTGTTTGTTAAGAGGACTTAAGAGTGAGTAGAGTTTCTGGTATTTGTTGTTTTTGGTGGAAGGTGACATGCATCCCATGAAATTATTCGAACATAGTCTGACATCATGGTTGTAAAAAGAAAGGCATGAGGTAGACTTAAAATCACAGGGAAGCAAGTTATCTCAATGAACCTCCAATCTCTTGAAATCCATATAATATTTGTGATGAACAGAACACCATAGAAGAAAATAATCCAAATAGGCAATATGCACCGGTTAGATTAAAATAGTCGCTAATTACATATTTATGTTAGATCCCGTATTTGATAAGAGTCTTTTAAGTTTGTTCAGAGATTGTATACCAGTGTAGGGATAGGTTCAGATATACAGAATCTCTAATTTGCCTTATAAGACAAACAATTGAGTGGTAGAATGGAACAGACGAAATCCAATGGAATGGATATAGATAATTCATATAGCCGACCTTAACTAGTTTGGGATCAAGGTGTAATTGTTGTTGTTACCTTTCCTAGCCGTCAATTCTGGTCCAAAAGGAAGGATCTTCTAATTCCTCCTTATTTATTAGAATTATTTGCATTGCTGAAGTCTTGCAAGATATCACTTGCTGTCCATATTTTCATGAATATACTAGTTTTAAGCTACGAATATTTACATAATTCCTACCCTTCCCAGGGTACATTACTCGATATTTGCAAGCCTATGTCCATCGGCTTCTCCAACACATATTAAATACTTAAGATGGAGGTGAAGATGAGGAATATTATGATATCATGCATTTATATGAGTAGAGCGAGCTATTTCCGTATGCAAATTGTCTTCTTAGTCCTCCATTCATGCATGCTCTAATTCCTCCTCTCGTAGTCTCTGACATCTTGCTTGGTCAAGTATTGATGCAGATATTAAACATCTGAGACCTTGGTGGTTCAATTCTATTTGTTCCTCAAGTGGTCTGCCAACTATCTTTGGTCTGATTAAGCACATCAACCTTTTACAGCAGATATAGCTTCAAAAATGCCCTTCAGGAGTCTCAGCACAAACGAAAATTCATGATTTTAAAAGATACAAATCGAACACATAACAAGTATGTATGGTTATTTATCTTCTAAATGATTACTCATTAAATGAATCCAGTTAGAAAGGGAGCTAGAAATATTTTGAACGACTAGATCATTTACATTGGGTATGTTGTTGTTGTAGATCAAGTTGATAAGAAAATATTCAGGACAACTTGCACTTTTGCTCCTCAAGTTATTTCTTAATTTCAAACCCTGGATTATTGCACTTGGCTGATCTTTAATTTGTTTCAAAGGAAACAATCTGGGCCTTTCAGTAATGTAATCAACTAATCTTTAAGAATCTCATATATTGCAGAGTCTTCCACCCCTTTCATCTTTCGCCCATTCCTCATATCCGTCATCAGCACTTACAGCCCCTTATGTACTCCTAAACTCTGCTCCCTACTTCTAGTGACCTTGCCGTTTGCCTTGCAAACTACATTTTTTTCCAGCCTTCCCCCTGGTTCAGAAACGAGACTGCATCATGTGCAATAAGATTGGGGAGGAATTGCATGCATAGCTTCAGGGTAATTAAAGATGGGGTTCCAAGGTGGCGGAGAAGGTCTTAAAGCCACTTAGTGGTCATTTCAATGCCACGTACACAATGGTGATTACTCTTTTTCTATTCAGTTGTCACCTCCGTTTTTTTAGTATGGTGCATCAACAGTACACCACACTCTGATAATTTACCACACTTGCTACAATGTTGTTAAAAATGTTTTCCTCACAAAGATTAATTTGAGTGAGTTTGTTTTTTTCAATTTAATCTTAGCTAATTGCCGAAGAGGGGTTCATATATATATATATATATATATATATAT